GCTTTTTCCCTATAATTCTATCTCTAAAACCTGGCAACGATTTATATGAAATACTTTAAATCATGATTTATAAAGTGCAGAGGGGACCACAAAGGAAAAGGCAAATAAACCCTGTGGGTGGCACCTTATTTACGTATGCACAAATGCCAAACTCATAATTTTCCCTGGAGACTAAAACAGCCCTTACACTACACATTCCCGTATACATTTTAATTGAGAGCTATAAGACTGATTATACATTAACTCAATGTAGGTGATCAAATGAAGATATAATGTAATTTGGGCAAATTTGTATTTGTAAAATGTCCTTGTTCTTAGGCTTTTCTTTTGGAAGTCAAATCCATAGATCACGGAGTAGGATGACTTGACTGTTAATTAGTTGTCCATTAGTCTTCATTTCCTAGGGCTTATGGGGGAAAAGTAAATCTACTCTAATTTGTTTTATGCAAATTAATCTATTTGATTTCATCTTTTTTTCTCCATTAGCACCTGGAGTTTTTGAATTAATATGAAACTTGGGCATGCCTAATGAATATTAAACCCTAGCACACCAAATACAGGGCTGGGTTTTATGTATATAAAGTAAGTTAATTATGACCATTTGGGCTCAGATTTAAAAATTAGGTAATTTTTATGAAGTAGTAGGAGGTGCAAAGCTTATTTTGTGCAATTTTTAAAACCACAATGTAATTAGAACAAGCTGAGCATAAGTTACCTTAGATGCTACAAAGTAAAGCTGGCAATTAACAAGAATGGAATCAGTGTGCACCCCCACTGCCTCCAGTACCTGTAAAAATACTCATTTGTGCTTCCTCATTTCAAAGAATGTTTTTTCTATCCTGAGGCTTGGAGCATTCATCAAGACTTTGGAAGTGCTTCCTCTAGCTTTGGAGAGAGATGGAAATATAGGAAGCGAATTGCTAAAAGAAGCAGAGACTAAAAATGATAAGTAATTTAATCAGAATGAGAACATCCTCCACTCCCTTCTGAGGGTGATTGGTAAAAATGGTGTCATGTGTGGTAGCTCTGTCCATGGCTATCCCCAACCCCGACAGTCCTGCTCCCGTGTCGATTCCAGCAGGATTCAGGAGTGGTAGCTGGCTTGGGAAGATAAATGGAAACATGTCACCTCTGTTTCTGCTTGTCCTGTTAGGAAAGCACTCCACCTGTGGGGAGCCACCCTGCCAGACCTCCCAGCGCCTGAACCCCAGCAGCCTAATCAAGTGGTCCTGCTCACTCTTGCCATTAGTAAAAGCAAACCAGCTGTGGGAACAAAGCCACAGTGCTGCCTCTTTACATCCATCTTGCTGTGAATAGAGCAAAAATTCTCTTAGTTTTTCTTGGCAAAGTTTTCAGAACTCAGCTCAATTTAAACTCCAACTTTCCCAAACTTATTCTTAACATTAGGGCACTCTTTGATTTTATTCTTGGTCTCAACTCTCTTTACTTCATCTGTTTATCTTTTTAACCAACAAATCTCCAAGAAAGTTCTCTAAGTGGCCCCTAGGGATTTTCACTGAGTCCTTCTCAGTTTCCTGCTTGTCAAGGCCATTTTTAATCTGTGTCTGAGCCTCCCAAGTGCATTTGAGCTGTTTCCCATTTTAGAGTTCCTGCCCAGAAGGCCACACTTATCTTCCCTCTCAGTGTTTTGAACTCTGTGTCCTGATAGTTCAGGACACAGACCTACCCATAAGAAACATTTCCTGTCTTATCAATGAAGAGGAGGTAGCTAATGGGGTCACTTTCTCAGTATTTAATTCAATCCAATAAAAGCAGTTATTTATTGAACTTTTACTTTACTCCAAGTACTTGGCTATAAGGACTTCACTGAATAATGTGGGAAGCAGACCATTAAACCAATAATTTCAACACAGTGGGATAAATGAATCAAAAGAGATGGGTGCAATAGATAACAGTAGGACAAAGGCAAGAATGTGTTCTTTCTGAGAAAAATCACACACACAACAAAATCGGAGATAAATAAAAGTCAATTAGGCCAACGTAAAGATGGAAGGACCACCAGAGAGAAGGAAGAGCATCTGTGAAATCCTGTAGGCATAAAATGACAGAGAATATCATCACTATTTCACCTTGTTAAAAGTTGAAGAGCATAATTGTCATCCTTCTTAATTTTTTTTGTCCTTTTTGGTTTCTAAAACTATACATAATAGTTTCAAAGGGTAAAATTACACAGAAAGGTATGACCTAGAAAGGTAAAGTCCTCTATAATCCTGACTTCAGAGACACCCTGTAGTGTGTCCGGTACTTATGTGCCTCTATCTTTTTTTCTTATATAGATACCAAACTAGAACCATACTTATTCTTTTGCAACCCCAGTTAGTATACATAATTGAACATTTTATACTACATCCTCATCTTTTGGATGTTTAGGATGCCAATATCTGGATTGTGTGGAAGTATAGAATAGTCATTAAACCTGGCCTCCCTGAAGTCAGATGAATTCAGTCATCCCATTTGGTGCATGACTTGGGTAAGTCACTCAATTACCCTGTGTCTCAGATTTTGTGTGTACATTGTAAAGATCAAAATAATAATACATATCTACCTTAAATGATTGCTGTTATTATTTTAAAAGTACTTAGAATAGTGCCTGGGATGGTAAATACTCTCAATGGAGTTCATATTACTATAAGATATTTAATCAGGTCCCTATTGATGATTTTTTTTTTTTTTTTGCACTACATGGCTTACTAAAGAAACTTCTAAGACAAGTTTTGTATTGCCCTTAGTCCCTATTGCATTTTGGTTCTTGTTTTTTTACTAACTTAGCATCCAAAATTTATTTTATGAGTACTTAATAAAGGTATAATTAGTATTGTCAACTCCCTTGAAGGCAGCACAAAACATGGTAGGTGGAGTCCAGGGGAATAACTTCCAGATCAGACCCAAAGGGAATCCATTGCAGATTTTCTTTCTGAAGAGAGGTCTTGTCAGGAAGCGGGATGCTGAGCGTAGATGGGCAAAGTTGGCAGGAAGATTAAGATCTGAGAGATCAAGCTGGAGGCCTGGACAGAAGCCAGAGAGTGAGTGTGGGCCAGAAACCTATGGGCAGAGACAAATGTATAGATAAAGAACTAAAAAAAAAAAAATTAAGAAAGGGTATGATATACCTTCTTTGGTGAGGTACTTCACTACAGGTAAAGTTCTCATCAACCTGTGGGTACCAATAAGGTTCTGTTAATATCAATTCCAAAGTCACAAGGCTCTTTGGCCTTCTTCACACAGAACTCAGCAGCCTCCTCCCAATGTCTCCATGAGCCTTCCTGGGAGGCAGGGAGCTGGGGGAGTACTCTCATGAACCAGGATACATTTACTCAAGTTGATCTGCCCTTGACTCCCTGTCAAGGTGACTTGTCAGCCTCAGCAGAGCAGAGTTGTGGCCTATTTAATGGATTATTCTACTGGAGGAGAGTCATGCTCTGCCGCTGCCTCCCACCCTCCCACTCTGGGAGAGGGTTTTTGTGGTCTGGGGTAGGGTCTATGTAGGATACATTGTGAGGTTTATGTCTAAAGCTTCCCTGTTACTTCTCTCCTTAATTCCAATTTCTGCTGATGTTCAAAGCCTGTTTCCCCAATCTGGGTGGGGGAAGGGAGAGAAAGACAGAGAAGCCACACCCTCTGTCTTCCTGCTTATCTCTCCAGTCACTCAAGAACAAATATTGACCAGTCATTGTGGTAGGTTGAGTGTAAATGAATCTCCATTCTTGCCCCGTCTCTGTATCTATGCCCTTGCAATGAGACATTCAGTTCTACTTCCTTGAATCTGGGCTGACCTCTGGTGGTTTTGGTCCCTTGGACATGGCTAACATGATAGGGCATCAATTTCAGTTCTGTACTTCAGGGGACCTTGAACTCTTCCATTCAATCTCTGGGCTCCTCTATCTTGCCCTGGGAACAGCCAGGGTTAGGCTGATGAAACCAGGTTTAGGCTGGCTATTGTGGGTCAGCCCACGGCCAACCCCCAGCCAGCCACCCACCCAGTAGTGCCCAGAAAGCTGCTCTGCCCCGCCCTTCCAGGATCAGCAAAACTGTGAAGGTGCAGCATGAGTGAGCCCAGAGGAGACCTGAAGAACCACCAGTTAACTCACAAATTTGTGAATAAATATATCCTGTGTCATTTGAAGCTGCTGGCCTTTAATTGTTAAGTGGTATTATTGTGACAAGACATAAATGATATGACACTCTTTTTCTGACCTCTTTTTCAAACATCCCTCTGAGAAACTGAATAATCATCCATCTGCATTTAGCCAGGAAATCCTGCAGCTCTTCCACAGGCTGGGGGGTCGCGGGGGGGAGTACTGAGGTAAGGGGAACATATTCTAAATTATCAGGTGTCCAGAGGGAAAGCCAGTTAGCCTCAGAGAAAGGTGCAAGTGAGGAAAAAGGGTGTAGAAATGCCCTACAGGTCTTCATTTGGCCAAGAAGATCACAGTAATCTTGGTGTGATGGCATTTCTTATAGAAACTGGCAAAGAAGGCTGTTATGGTTTAGATATGAGGTGTCCCTCAAAAGCTCATGTGTGAAACAATGCAGGAATATTTAGAGGTGAATGTGAGAGTTGTGGCCTATTTAATGGATTATTCTACTGATATGGGTTGACTGGGCAGTGACTATAGGCAGGTGGGGAGTGGCTGTATGGTAGAGATGTTTTTCAGAACAAAGGAGAAGATAATGTGGCACCATCAGTATCAATGTGAGCCTTCCACAACTCAGTTGTAACATCGTTTCTACTCTGTAGTAGAGAAATAGAATGCCCAACCAGGAATGTGTATTACTTTATATGGGAGACAAAGAACTAGTATATGAAAGGAAACTAACAAAAGTATATAAAAGGCTCAGCCTTTGGATGAGAATCTGCTGAGCCAGTGCTGGCAGAAAAAAAATTAAAAAATACTGCTTCCTGCTGATAGTTCTGGTCTCGTGTCTCAGTTCAAGAATCTCACAACTGGAGGAGGTAGGTCACTGGGGTGGGGGGATGCCTTTGAGGTTTATATTTTGTCCTTGGTGAGCGGAGTTCTCTCTGCTTCCTTGTTGCCGTGTCCTGCGATGCCGTCCTACATCCCGCCCAGCCACCACCATGTCCTGCCTCTCCTCAGGCCCAGAGCTATGGAATTGGCCGACCATGGACTGATCCTCTGAAACTGTAAGCCCAAATAAGCTTTTCCTCCTCTTAATTGTTCTTATTGGGTCTTTTGGTCACAGCCACAAAATCATTGACTAAAAAGAGACTTAGCTCCCCATTTTGACTGAGTTGGAACCGAAACTGAGACAAAGAGCAGCAAGAAAAAATGGGGGCAGGAATCACAGAGAAGACATTGAGCTAGCGGTCCCAGGACTCCAAGCTCAGGCTTCAGAAAAATAAAATCTCTGAGGTCAGTGAAGCCCTCCGGTGGGAATGTGAGTCATTTATAATCAGACTAAATGCCTTTCATTATGCTGAGATGCTTTTTAATTGCAAATTGGATGATTTTGAACTCTGAAGTATTTCACTGCACTATAAATAGAACTGCTTTAGTAAAGGCTAGGGTCTGCCCTTACTGCCTGCAAGTCAGAGCAAAGCTACCCGCAGCCTATACACAGCTAGCTGTCACTATTCCTCCGCCACTAGTTGGTAATCTAAGGATTGATAATTGAGACCACACGTGTTGAGAAAGCAATAAAAAAATAAGTTCCTGATGGATGATTCCTAGTTCTCTCCTTCCTTTTGAACAATGGGGAATGAGGCAGGCAAATCTGTCTTACATTGATAGCATAGCCACTTGGTCCTATTGCACTGGTTGGGTTGAGTTTGACCCTGAGAGACAGTTCATGTATGGCCCCCATTCCTGATAAACTTTTTTGGACATTTTACAGTTATAGTTCTTTTGGCGTAGGTCCCTAGTTGTTTGGTACCTAGCCTTGTGGTGAGCAGGGGTATGTTGGCTTGGTGTGAGATGGGGCTTTGGGCTTCAGGTTGCTGGTTTACTTACTGTAAGGTATGCTTACAGACAAGCTGTTTGCTGTCTCTAGAAATTAACTAGTACTGACAGAAGCAGTATTTGTTTGGGTCTACAGGATGCAAAATGTCAAAGTAGCATGAAATATGTTATGTTACATAAGATGTCCCCCAAAACCTTATGTGTGAGACAATATAAAAATGTTTAGTGATGAAATGATTGGATTAGATGATCTTAACTGAATCAGTACATTGATCCCCTGATAGGGATTAACTGGGTGGTAACTGTAGGCAGCTAGGCTGTCACTACAAGAAGTGGGTCATTGGGGGCATGCCTTTGAGGTTTTATTTTTTATCTGTGGTGAAAGGAGCTGTCCCTCTCTTCCCCCTGGCCCCTTTCTCTCTCTCTCTCTCTCTCTCTCTCTCTCTCTCTCTCTCTCTCTCTCTCTCTCTCTCTCTC